TAAAAGCTTCATCGTCAAAATATGTCGAGACAAGCGGCTCTAGGGAAAGTGACATTCTCGAGTTATTTAATGACTTCTTGCAAAATGAGCTTGAGCAATTGAATGAGAGTACAAAGCCTACTTGCTATGGATGTGGAGAGCGTGGACATATCAAGGGTCATTGCCCTAATCGAAAATTCAAGAAGTCTAAACGCCAAAAGCAATCCAACTCTAGCTCCTCTTCCTCATCCGATGATGAAGTAGCCATTTGTCTTATGGCTCAAAGTGAATCCGAAGAGGTAAGTTCTTCTAACGATCCTTTTAGTTTTGAAGAACTACAAGAAGCATTTGGTGATTTATTTAAAGAATTTAAGAAAGTCTCATCTATTGCCAAAGATTTGGAATATAAAATCACCCTTTTGCAAAAGAAAAATAATATTTTGCAAAAAGAAATTGATTCCCTCAAAATTGAAAATAAGACTTTTGAGGAGACTAATTTGAAATTAAATGATTCACCTTGTTCTTCATGTAAGTCTTCTAGTCTTGAGATAGAAGCGCTTAAGAAAGAGGTAGACGATTTGAAATTAACAATGAAGAAAGTTGAAAATGAATTTAGACTAAAATCTACCTCTAGGTTTAAATACTATAGATCACCTAGAAATAAACTAAGTCATTCTAGGAATTATAAGTTTGATAGCAAACCTAAAAATCACATCACACGTCCTAGAAACATGAACAACCCTAGTGTTAGGTGTCATTATTGTAATAAAGTAGGACACATCACACCAGTTTGTTACACTAAGTATAGGCATTGAATGAGTTTCAAATGAGTGTAACGAAATAGGTACGAAGTAGCTATAGAACAGAGATTCGTTGAACTCATTTCGTTTCACTATGTGAAACTCATTTCGTTGAACATAGTTCAACTCATTTAGTTCAACGAACAACGAATCGAGTTGAACGTAGTTAGACGAATAGTTACACTCAGGAAACAATCTATGAGCATTCCGGAACTTAAGAATGGAACAAAAAAAGGGGGGACTCAATAATCTTCCAAAAAAAGAGGCAACTATGTTAAAAAGAAAATTAGCTCGCTTGCAAAAATATCTGGGTGGTATTCAATATATGACAGGGTCCTACCCCCCAACCTAGAGTCGCTAAGTGGGGAAGTAAAATTAACTAAAGTTTAATTTTCAGTTAAAGTTTTTCATTTTCGTGCTCTTCTAAGTCAAGATAATGTGATGCATCGTTCATATGATTTTTATTATTGCCATAACACCCCTGGACCCAAAAGGCATTGGGTACCAATATTTGCTTCGTAGATTCATTAAGGAAGGTGTGCTTGAACACTTCGACTTGAGTTGAAGTAGATGCGCCAAGCACATAATTGGGTGAAGCATCAATTAAGGGGGAAGTTGATTCACTTTATTAATTCCAACTAATGTTGATTTTTATTTTAGTTGGACAATGTGATATTATTTGTTTGATATCTATTTGCATGAGCATATATCTTTTTGCCATCTCTTTTTGATAATGTCAAAAGGGGGAAGATGGTGTAGATATGCATATATTCAGGGGGAATTGTATTTGTGCATATCTTAATGGGGAAGATAGTATAGATTTGTATGTCTTTATTTGATTTTTGATGCTATACTTGAGGGGGAACTAGCCTTGTATGATGCATATCTCCTAATGGGTTTGTCATTATCAAAAAGGGGGAAATTGTTGGATAATGTGCTATCATGAATATATATTTTTGCAATGTCCTTTGCCCATTGTCTTTTTAGGTTTTGATAATGACAAAAGGGTGACAAACATCATCATCATTTTGTGCATCAAGGCTAAGAATCAAAGCTACAACAAGTTCATATCCGTCCGTGAAGAAGGGACTTGAGCATCGGTGGAAGGAACGAGACCGAAGAGGTTGTTTCCTTAGTTGGGTAGTGTTTTAGGTCTTAGATTATATGTTAAAGAGTATGGCATCTCTAAGGTTCATTCCCTTATCATCTTACCTTTAAAACACATTTTAGATCAGCCTTTGTATGGAGAAGTTGCCTATCTATTCGAATAATCTTTAGTTTATTTGAATAAGTCGTGATCTTTCCTGTGACTGAAATCAACCTGTTTTGTTCGAATAAATCAACACTTATTCGAATAAGTCCTGGTTTTTCAATCTGATTTATTCGAATAAATCACCATTTATTCGAATAGGAACTGGTTTTTCAAGTCACGTGATTGATCCAAACTATTCGAATAGTTCTTGAGTTATTCGAATAAGTCGACAGTTTCAACTACCAAACGGCTAGTTTTTTTGAATTCTTTTCATCTCTATC